GCGTTCAAGTCTCCAAAGGAATACACAGCCGATCACTCCGACACCAGTTTCAGAGCTTGCAAGATGCAGGATGTAAAAGGATACTCGAGAGTTAATAGATTGTCATTTTTTGACATGACAGTATATGACATAATGCCCACAATGTATGCAAAAAAAAAATTGTATTGTAGTAGAGGTATGAGTTGACTTATTATAGTGGTGAATTTTTTTGATGAAAATGAAACTTTAGAGGTATTGCATCTTGGTAATATGCTCATTGATTCATTTGTAATTCCGAAAGACCGGATGTAAATAATCACTGAGTGTCCGCTGAAGTTGAATTCACTCGGGAATCGTTGTGAGGTTCTGTTAAAATAATTTATTCAAGGCACATTGACAGTGAACACCATGGTTGGACCTGAGTGCTGCGTCCGGTTTGACAAAATCTCCGGTTGCATGTAGACGCGCGGGTGGTACTTTTCAGCCACAGTCATTGCAGCTCAACCAAAATTTTGCTCGAAACTCTAATCTTTTTTTTCTGTTATTTAATGGCTTTGTGTCAAGCACCTGCAGCCGACTTTAGACAACTCTTATCTTCAACTTTTTAGAGGGAGATTTTTAGGATTGGGTCGGGGTGGCTGTGCAACTGGCAAGTGGACCTTTCGCAGGATTGAGGACTTCGAGATTCAAGTACTTCATTGTGTATACGATTTTGCGAGAAAAACGACGATACTCTTAAATTTCTCTGAAGCGAACTCCTAAGCTCAAAAGTAACTCTGAAAGTTCTGACCGTAATGGACGGTCCCTATACGTTATGAAAGAATTTGCTCCCATGTTGATTCAAAATTTCCTTGCACAGATGAGGGATAAAGTATACACTTTAAGGGCTGCCGGAACTGCAGCCTTGGAGTCCCCCGGAACGATCAACCCTAATGGTTCGATTGCTTCCTATCTGTGCATAAGGCGTTTGACTGAATTAAAAGGTGAGCTCTTCCATAACGTGGAGGATATTCTTCCACGATGGCCTCAATTTTGAGAGCTTCTTTTGAGCTTGGGAGTTTGTTTTGGAGAGAACCAGTGGCATCACACTTCTTGCAAGATTTCACATTGGCGAAAGTACTTGAATCGCAAATCTCGTAGCTTGCACGAACCCTGTTGTCCACGTTTCCCCCGGGTTTTTTTTGGGTGTAATATTGATGAAGAAACGTGTTTAGCGGTGCAAATGCCCTTACCATGTCAATAGGTCCCTTGAATTTTAGTTTTTGAAGAGAGTCGTCGGAGAGGCCGCTCGACGCGTGAAAAGGCGCATGAGTGAGCTGAGATGCTTCATCGACTGGCTAGGGGAGGGGGAGGGGGCAAGAAGGGAAGGGAGAAGGAGTGACCGAGTCTCCCTGCAACGAGACATGCGTTGAGGTATGACCGACGTTGGAAGACACGAGCGAGTCGGGGCACAGTGGATCGAGTCAACTTGAGAGCTCAGACATGAAATATTTTACTAAAACCGCAAATTTTGATGTTTATTTTGTCGCACTTTAAGTTTCAAGAAGTGCTTTGGGAAGAAAATTTTACGCGGAAACTAATGAAACCGCTTTCAGAGCCTCAAAGTTTCGTATAAACGGAGTTATAAGCGTTGAAAAATTCCAGATTTCGTCCGACCTCTAAAATTGATTGGATCCACTGTGCGGGGCCGGGACTGAAAACTGAATTAAGTCGGAGTAAAAGTTAAAGACACCGGTTCCACGAGCGGTGGCGGCGCGGCGCCCGGGGCGCCGCCGCGTCCCCAAACGTCCAGCGTCCAGCGCCTCCGAGTCAAATATGGAACGACGCCGGTCGTTGACTCTCGCCCAACAGCTGATCTCAACATGAAATGTTATCACCGAACACATAACTTTCTACCGTTTCTTTCGTCGGGCACCCATAAATTCCCGGAGAGCCGGCTGTGCACCTTTCTTGAAGCCGGGGTCGTTCAACCTGCCCCTCCTCCCCCTCCTCCACTCCCTCCCTCCTCCTCCCCTCCCACTCCAGACACGAGATACGACCGATCTGGACACTGATCGGTGATAACGTCGACTCGCCCTGATCGCCCGATCGGTGCCGAATCGCCGCTCATAGTCATAGCTCAACGGGTCCCGACCATGGGCCTGAAACGAAAGTTCGAGTTTTGAAAGTTGACCTGCGGACTGATTATTGAAATTGATGGACAAAGCTGTAGACAAAGAGGACAGAGGGAGTATGGAGCGCTCCTATTGGTTGAAATAGATACAATTTTTTAAGAGCAGCCCAAGACAATGATAACAGTGGAAAAAACAAGGAGGAAAAACGGGAAGCAAGGCTAAAAATACACAAGTAATAAAACCCGAGAAGTTTCGACTAAAGTCTGAGTCATTTTCAGTCGGAAACAATACAAATTTGAAAGAAAAAACGATAAAAACCTGAGCCCTTCATGGTGGTGGCCGGGATCTGGTTGAAATGGGTGATTCCTATAGGCAAAGGGAGAAAATGATAGACTTGCTGTCGAGTCTCTCGTGGGTTGCCGTTAGTTAGTCTATTACCTATTTCCTTTATCCGTTGCAACCACCCGCTTCCACCTATAGGATCTCTCCATATCTCTTTTGTCTCCTTCGTCTACAGCTTTGTCAATCAATTTCAATAATCGGCCCACTGAAGCTCGAATGCGCTTTGACCGCCCACCACCGTCAAATCACTATCATTGAGAGCTACATGAATCGGGGCCCCTCATAGGTTGCACTATTCGGTTCATGAAACCGAAATTTCAAACCGAACTAACTGAAAAAATAGGTCGATAGCATGAGCCGGACTGTAGATCGGTCGCATGAACTGAGAATACGATTACCGCAGAGTCGAAAATACGGTTTTACAAATTGATTGGCGCTCGCGGCCTATGTGGAGCACGGTATCCTAGTTTACGTAGCCGTGATTTTTCTCCGAGTGTAGAGATGATCCTGTGGGCATTTGGTGATGGAGCGTGAGGTGTTCTACTGGATCCAACTTCTCATAGATTCAACTTTAGATGAGATTAATGTAACTTGTGGATCGGAAAAAATAGGATCTATCCAATCACCAAGATTTAGCCTTTAGTATTTACAAAAATGGAGGGTGCGTCAGATAATGGAAGTCGGAAATGACATCGTGTTCGACGTCATGACCAGACAGCTTGTCTGGTATGGTCATGTCAATAGGATGACTGAAGAGAGGCTGCCAAAAAAGATGCTTGATTGGGTTCCTCCTGGGAGGAGACATAGGGGACGCCCAGTGAGAGATTGGCGACAGGGGGCGTTGAGTGAGATAAGGGAGTGTCAACTCCCTGATGACCTGTGGGAAGACCGAGCTTTGTGGCGATTGGGCGTCGTAGAGCGCCGAAGAGCGCTGTAAAAGCGACTCATATGTATGTATTTACAAAAATAATTGGAACACTTGCCAATTACATATACTCACTCGTAACCCTAAACCTCATATTAGCCGTTCAAATAGTATACCCTTCAACCCTTGACTTTTTCATCTATCTGAGATTGAAGGAATGAAAGAATGAAGGAGTGAATTATTCCTCTTAAAATATCTATATCGACGGTTAAACTACCAAATATCTTGTTTCCCGTGTTTAACAATCTTCGCTCCCACTTAATTATTTCGAAGGAGAGAAAATCATTATCATTTCTTGAAATTTTCACCAAATTTTCTTCTCAAAGAAAAAAAAACCCGAAATTTTCCAAGAATTGACGGTGAGTAGTTTTTCATTTGAAAAATAATGTATGATGGGAAGTCTGCAACGTCACAAACTGAGAGACGTGGTCTGGTAGTTCCACCGTTGATATGAGTTCTTCGATTATGGTTATTTTCATGATGTTTTGAAAATGATCCGTTGGTATATTTCACGAATTTTTTAAAGTGTACAATTCATTCCAATACAATTTTCCGGTTTTACAACTTATATGCTTTATATTTCATTATTATATGTGGACTTCATTAACCCGATTTTATCATACATATTTCCAACGTCGCTTGCTTTAGATGCCTAACGTGTTTTACAAACTTTCGATTTGATTACCCCCCCCCCCCCCCCTCTGACATGTGGAAGTATATTTATTTCTGCATGAGCCCCAGATTTATACATGAAACAGGGCTCACGTCGAAATAGAGATATGCACGCCCTTATGCCAGAGAGGTGACAATAAGGCTGAAGAGAATTAAAGAACTGAAGCGGCGCGCTAGCGTCATTTCAAACCCCTTCCATCCAGGCGGCGACTGAGAAAGAGGAACTATACAGAACGAAAGAGGAACTTTACAGAACGAAAGAGGAACAAATGATTGTAAACTCAATCGATGCGTTTTCAGTTGAAAAATGTGCAATATCCGTCATTGGACTAAACTAAATTAAACTGAACACTTTTTAAACGAGGATTACGATGGCATGGCAAAAATAGAAACCGTTTAAGGATTAAAGAACATACATTGAAAATTAAAAAGAAATGAATGAAGGAGCCGCAGAAAGGAGCTGAGTTGCTCGAGGAGGATGTAACAGAACTCCGTAGTCACACATTAAAAAATAATTAAGGACCGCTCCTAAACTCATATACTTCTCTCTGAGGAAATTTAGTTATTAACAGGGTTTACCTACCAGTATTCCCAAAATGAAGATCAATAGTAAGATCAATTGCTACGAGTAACTAGGTCCACAAGAGAACTAATACATTATTCATTTTTTTAAATTATTAATTCAAATTAAGGTAAAAATTGCCGATTGTATTGTTTATCTCCCCCTAGCCCCCACCTCACCCCCTCTTGCTCCCTCTTGTTTTCACATCCTGCTTCGATTTTTCGGAATGCACTTTATATTCCTTACTTTTTTAATTCGAATATACTATGTAAGTAGATAAAAAACAAGGCAGGCCCAAACTGTCTCATAATTTTTTTTTTATTTTATTGCATATGTACAATGTAAATAATAATAATAAAAAAAATCAATCCAAAGGAAGTTTTCTGATATCGATGTTAGCGTAATTTCCCCACAAAAAAAAAGGCAAAACTGAGTATGCAAATTTTTAATTGTTATCGCCGGGAAAAACGCCTTCAATTGAAGCGATAGGCACTAAGTGAGTCAACTATCAGAACTGGCGACTCGGCGCAATCCTCATACCAGTCCCACCACGCCTCGCTTTCAACATGCTTTGACAGAGAAAATTCTACTCATAGTGAGAGAATGAAATAACTCATAGTAAGTATGAAAAATTTAGAAATTTGAGAGACTGAATTTATAGACAGAAGCTAAGCAGAAACAAGTTGAATGCACGAAAAAGAGCAAGATGCGCATGTTTTATACGCGACACGAGCGTATAGTTATCTCGCGCGCTCCTGAGTTTATAGTTTCTCCACCAATATATATTCCTATGGAATAATTGCAATTTTTTAAATTGTTAATTTGAAAAAAGATTCAATAATGATCGAGTATTTTTCCATCTTATGAACAAATACTTTTATACATGAAGGCCAGACAAGTGAACCATCACAAATGGAGAATTTGCAGGTGTCTGAATTTTGACGACTTTCATGTTTGAGTGGGAACTACTGAGTGAAATGAACACAAGGATACCCTTAGTTCATAAACTAAACAATGATAGGAGAAGACATGACAAAATTATCTAATCTGCTAAAATACACGTGATTAAATAGGAAATGCCACCAGATGACGTCACTAGGAGTAAATTCTCACTTTCAAATCTATTTTTATACTATTTCCCACATCAGAACTTTTTTTAAAAAAACCCTGTAGTCAGCTTTTCAAGCAATCTCAAAAGAAGCAAAAAAAAGTTGCTCGCAAATTCTCCATTTCTATAGATTTTGGTCTCAGTCACCACTTCTATCATCGTCCAGGTCAATTTCATTGAATGAGTCGAGATCGTCTCCGTTTTTGTTCGTCACCTTGTTGCATCGGTACATACGCCTGATTTTTTCTAGGTCTCCATTTGTAGCACCGTTCCGCTGACCCAGCTCCATTTTTGGTTTTGTCTATCGTAAAAACAATTTGAGCCAATTATCATTATTATGGTCAGCTGCTTGATTAATATCAAGGAATAAAATTAATTACATTACATAATTTAGGATGGTGGGTTGTTTTATTGGTGGCTTGTGTTCACACTCATATCTAGTGAATTAGAGGAAACAGCACGACTGTAAACTCGCACGTGTACTAATCATACATCTACACCAACGCTAGCGTTACTGAGAACGAAAACAGTAACCTTACCGACATAATCACCCATGTACCTCTCAATGGTTGATTTAGACGAATTTTCTTAATTTGACATGATATGACTCTTCTCTTGTGGACGACCCGGAAAAAGCATGGGAGCAAACAAAGAGGGGGAACTTAATTGAATTAAATTGATCCTCAAACGATGTAAGAATCCATCCATTATTATTTGCACCATTCAGTATCTATGACTGAGTCACAAGCATGATTCCGGCTATTTCCACATGTAAAATTTCCTTCGTCGTAAGAATTGAATCTTAATTTTAAAAAAGGTCATGATCCTGTTCATGTTAGATATGATTTCTATATGATTATACCACGGAATCGAATTTTTACGGGCTTATTGGCTTTATAAGTTTTTAAAGCAAATCGTACCTACATCAAGCAAAAAGAACAAAAATAAATGATTGAGGACGTTAACCGATAAAAATGTTGCTTTTGATGGATTACCTTGTGAACGATCGTATCCTGTCCGTTTTTTGAGAAAGCAAAACGTGGGTAATGCATGACACTTTTATGGTTGTAGGGAATATTGAAAGTCGTTACTTCGTATGGAGATGCCTTGTTGAAGTCTGACCAATAAGCTGAAAAATTCCATTGAAATTAAGATGATTTTCAACGACCTTAAAGAGAATCTACATTGGCATCTCAACAGCTTTACAAAGCAGTTCCAATTAAAATTTGGCCGCATAAAATTTTTCGTTAATTCGTCAATTGTTTAGACTTCCTCTGCCGAAGAGCATTGTGTAATTTTCCTCTCTCATCGGAGGTTCTGTAAAAATAGCTATGACTTTGAGGGATGCTCCGTGAAAAATTTCGTTTTTCTTCCAAAAGCAGATGATTCCTCTGAGAAATCGGTTGTTGTAGTAAAAATTAAATGCAAGTGAAACTCTTGTAATTCTAAAAGTTGGTTACGTTATTTTGTCTAGACGGCGATGATTTGCTGTAGGATCAATGAATACTGACTTACGGGGACGGTCTGACCAGGGGTAACAGGGTACCTCAGCACCCCAAAAATCCTGACAGGTGGCTCAGAGGCCTCGGTAGGACTCCTGTAGGAGCCGCGAAAAATTGAAAACTCCTCATAAATGAAGACTTTTGGTTATTTAGAGAGGGCCCCACCGAGAGGAGACTTATTCCGCCTTGCTAAGGAAGAACGTCGTATGAGCTTTCAGACGATGCCAGAGTTTCTTTAAGAAAAACCGAATTTACTGAGAAAATTGTGAATATTTTTCCTCAAATTTTTCAGTCAATTTTGTTTACGATTTATTCTAAAATATCTGAAATTGTCAAGGAAAAATTAATATGCATAGCTTTCCTCAAAAATACACGATTTATTCGGGAAAATTTGGCCACTCTCGAATGTTCACACGGCGTTTTCCCTTAGTTCGGCAGTATTGGCGCCCAAGAAATTTTGAGTCAGATCGACACTGCTGACATACCTATTAATGGATATTCCAAGTTTTTTTTTTTTATTTTTTTATTATTTTTTTTTTTTTTATTGTCGCTTGAGAATAGTTACAAAATTACAAAATTACAATTACAATGAAAGTGAGTAAATAAGGATTTAGAGAACAATAATAATATAGGACTATGATATAGTTTGGGAGCTAATTTAGCTGAAAATTAGAAACAGTAAAAAGAGTTACTGGGAATCAGCAGGGGTTTAGATTTGCGACACCGGGATCCGCCTGTTGGCATGCATCGGTATAGATTTGTTTGTCTATCATTTCTTTTTTGTTGCTAAGGACTGTTTTTATGTATGTACAAATTTTAAACCAACTATCTTTAGATTCTAATAAGCAATTTTGAAAATTATCGATGGTAAATGTCTGGATATTCCAAGTAGACCAAAAAGAATGACAGCTCACCTTGGTCGATGTTATTCCAAAGGATATCGACGTGATTATCACGGTCAGGCCGCGCCTGTTCGTGCAGAAGCCCGAGGACGTGGAGAAGTTCATGCTCCACTGTGCCCCTGTACTCCAAACAGGCGGGACTCTGGTAGTTGACCGGATGCGGCCCCTGGTAGTTTCGTCGGTATCCGATCATGGCGAAACAGCCCTTACCGGGTTCTTTGTTGATTTTAATGTAATCCCTCTGCTGCCCGTTATACGGCACGAAATGGACGCACGTTTTCGACTCTATCCTCCGCATTGCTGACTCGACGCGAGTAGCTTCCTCCTGCGCTGAAACCGAGATAGATAACCATCCATTAAGATGTAACTATAAACTCCGTAAGGGTAAGTCAGGCTCTTGTCTTTACGATTGATAGAAATCTGTACTCGGAAGAACATGGATAAAGCATCCATTTTCCCTTAAAACGCACAAAAGTGTAGAAGTCAACCTTTACTCTGACAAAATCCCTTCAATGTTTGGAGGAATGAGACAAACACCGTAAACCTCATCGTGTATACATCGCTAGCGCTCGGATGCAACTATATATGCTCCGTGGAAGTGCGTGATGCGTGTGCAAGTTTCCATGGCATTTATCGTATTGTAGCCATTTTGATTAACAATAATGCTGTCTGACAAAATTGGAATAATTGGAAAAACTTCATTGATAACTAGCTAAAAACGTGGTCTTCAGAAAGTTTAGCACCAGTATTAGCCATCGGAAAAATCGGGCCTTGGAGTTTAGAGCTACAGGGACCTGTAGATATCCTTAAAAGTATAATAATAATTGTAAGGTTACGGGACTTCTTTTCGCGACTTTCAAACGACTTGAGCGCGTAACATGGTATGCGCGCAATGCATGAAGTATCCTACAGACTTGTAAGGCACTTGCGCGCTTCGAGCTATTCGCGCAATGCATGAAGTATCCTGCGGTCTTATAAGGCGCTAATATGCGTTCCGTGCTGTATGCGTCAGCCCTGCGCTGGCCGCACTGTGTTTGACGCGCTTATTCAAACTTGCGGCGTCAGCTGTTTTCAACTTATGATTTTAATGTTTTTCTACAGTTTGTTGGAATTATTGTCATTTCAAATGATAAAAAATTACATAATATTCAAACTTATCGCAAAAAAGAACAAAACTTGACTTACTGTAACTGCTGTCAAAAGTGTAGGGCACGATTCCGTTCGGCCACAAATAGGTATCTTGGCGGATGGCGTTCCTTCCCTCATCGATGGGAGGTACCAATATATCTCCTTGAAACAGCCTAGAGTTGAGCTCTGGATATTTGTTGTTCCCTAGGGCTACGAAGAACCAGTGAGTAACGATTAAAATTAAGTAGTGAACACAAAACGAATCAAAATCCAATCAACTTATTTTTATTTTAAATGCAGAAAGAGCTAATTAGCTCCTCCTGCAGAAAGTAATCGAACTCAACATGAGTCATAACTCGGTCAGTTAAGAATAATGTGTCCGTTCAATAATTTGATCGAGTCAGATTGTGTCAGGTAACGTGGTGGCAGATCTCGTCCCTAGATGACTTCAATTCTTCACGGAAAATGAGGTTAGGGGTTATCTCCTAAAATTGTGGTACTACCTAATTTTTTGGATGATATGGTCATTTCCAATTAATTGTGTTAATATTCAGGTTATTAACTTTATTTATTGGGGTACCACCACAATTAATTGAAAAAGTTCATATCATCCAACAACCCCCTGCCTTTTTTCCGTGTTGTTAATTACGTTAGCTTTACAATTTTAGATGAGAAGTTTACTGAGCTTTTTAGCCTTACCTTGCGTCATGTGAGGTGGAGAGCTAGGATGACGATATTTGAGCTCCGTGGTAACGGAAAATGTGAAACTAACATAACAGAGCAGGATGAGAAGCACCTCTTCAACCACTGACGTCATCCACGAAGACGTCATCACTTCAGTTACTGTCCGGGAAGACAATACTCGCCGACTTGAAATCCAACGGCTGTTAGGTTTGACGATACATTCTTACGAGTTGTGCTCAACAATCAATCATAAGTTCCTAGACCCAGAAATTACCAAACCAAAATTACAGCAACCACATAGAGTGAATTATGCGACTGATTTTTCATCGCAATCGAGTTTTTTTTTTCTCGGAGATGAGGTGGCTTCAATATTTGAGGCTCTCTGAGGGTGCATCATTCATGATAGTCCCCGGTTATTTTTTTGTTGAAGATGATATCTTGGTTTCCCAAACGACTTCCGCAAAGATCTTAACAACCGGATTCAGTGAGGAAATCGGCTATGAGAGAATTGGCATAATTTCCACCTGTTTCAGGTTGACATTATTGCCGGATATTATTGAAAATGAGGCCCCAGCCAACTTTTGCAATCCTTTGCTGGAGTTAAGAGAAGAAAATTTTGATCGATTACCTCAATTTAGGTATTCAAAAATGCCTATGTCAAGACCTATTTACAAGGTCTCTATGCCTTAAAATTTTTATTTTACATTTTTTGTGTGCGAATTCGTGAAGGTTACCTAGAGCACCTCGCCTTAAAGGGTATGTATTGCGAAAATGATAAAACTGCGCTACAGATGAGCCATACCAGTTTAATAACTCTGTATGGAACGTCTCCGTACTACCTACGGTTTCCTGGATTGTTCATTTCCTTCTTCCTCCAAGTTCAGACTGAATTGAGTTCCATCAATCGAAGTACATCATAAAAGATACTAAAGAGGATTCAGCGACTTTTAAAAAGAAAAAAAAGAGGAAGAAAAGAATGAAAGAAAAAAAATCCAGGATTTCATCGGACAGATTTGATACTTACCCACTTCAAATGTCCCTCTAATTTAATTCTTCTATCCGTCCATCATTTTAGAGTCTGTGAGGCTCAAGTTATAACAGAGCCAAAATAGCACAGGCTGCAATAAATGGCACTGACATTGTAAAATTAATGGTATTGTACAGGAATGATGCGTAAGCTATCTCTACAATTTAAAGAGGCTCTTCTCATTAAAATATTTTGCGATAAAATTGAAATAAGTTGCAATTTTTTTGCATTGCATGTAAACCTCCTCCCTATCTCAAACGTGGACTATATTGTACTGATCGTTTGGATCGGCATTTATTGACCAACTGACTTAAACATATGGCAACTTCATGGGATTAAATTGCAAAATCTTTTATGTATTTTCATTGCTCTGGGCTGCTTGGGTAATAAGATCGCGCCACTTGCGATTACTTACCGACATAGCCGATCAAAAATCTAAGCGAATTGATAAGATCAAGCACGATTAAGCACGTGGCAGTTGCTGGAAAACCACAGTTTTACTGAGAGCACACCTCATGATGACAAAATCGGCAAGAACGGGGCTGAGACAACAAGTGCGTAGCGAACTTTACCCGAAACGAGAATTAATGGCGATAACTCAAAACTTGAAAGTGGCTGAAAGCATGTCTTTTTTATCGGGAAACGTCGTTTAACATGTGCCCGAAACAAACAATTAAGCTAGGTGAAGGGCACTCTATCAGAGCTCTCTGGAAATATAATCGCAAAGCAGGAACTACGCCGCACTGACGATGCCTTAATTCGCTGCAGCAGTAAAAGAATTATTTGCTTTCAGTTTACTGTCAGTACGCTAACTTTCATTCCGCTGTTAATTTAAACTACGGAGGGGAGGGGGGACTGAATATGCGTGCCTCCAAAATCATAATTTTTTAAGAAAATCCCTTTCAAAAATTCCTGCTAACCACGTCCAGACATCCATCTGACTTGCTCTTAGCACATTCTGTGTCCTATTCCTCAGCTGCCAAACTTTATATGTATCTATCACGATATTTTTCACCACAGCTTTGGATATTCGCCTCTCGTTCTCTTATGAACATTAGTTGATCCTGGAGGTTTCCATTTAACATCGCTTTAGCCATCCTCCCTGGTATGTTTCTATCCTCAACAGCTTGACCGTCTATCCATCTTGAGTTAATCGCACACTTAAGTACTGATACTCCGTGGATACCAATCTCCCCTCGCCGCCAAACGAACGCATTTGTTCACACCTCAATGATGCGTGATATATAGCGCGGCTTCAGAGACACCATATCACCCTCTCCATTCACAGGAACGTCACTTAGGAGATGTCAGTTCCCGGAGCGCCCCTCGGAATATTTTCTTAATAAAATAAAAAATCAGCCTCAGTATTTGGGGTTGTTTTTTGTCTATACTGTTTATTGCGGGTTTTGAAATGATACGACTATTCGGTCTCTGAAGCCACACTAGGAAGTATCTTCTCACAATGAAGGCGTCTTCTTATCATAACAAACCGCATAACTCGTTTTAACTTAGGCTGATACACCGTTGATAGGGTTTTGAAATGATGCAACTATGCAGCCTCTGAAGCCACGCTAGGAAGTATCTTCTCACAATGAAGGCGTCTTTTGATCTTAACAAACCGCATAACTCGTTTTAACTTAGGCTAATATACACCGTTGATTGGGTTTTGAAATGATGCAATTATTCAGCCTCTGAAGCCATGCTAGGAAGTGTCTTTTCACAATGAAAGCGATTCTTATGCATCGGCACGCTTCATTAAAGAACTATCCCAACAAATCGCATTACTCGCTGATCCTCAATGCTAAGCTGTTGATCGGGTTCGGAAATGCAACTGTTCGGCCTCTGAGGCCATGCGCCGTTTTCGAATATGCATATCGACGGTGTATAAGTCGGCAATCACATAAGTCGGTTTGCGACGTCGCAGGCTTCCTGCCATTCTTTATATTTTGAACGGAAAACCACTCAACGGCAATTCTTTAAAATTGCCGTGATTCTTCTTCTATGTGCGAAGAAAATTCTGCATAAACTTCGAGGAATGATGCCAATTTGGTCTCCTTTAAAAGAATAACATAGAGGCGGACGCGGAACTTTTCAGACACCGCAAACGAGTTACGTGATTGCGGGCTTCAGGGCCAGATTTACCTACTTGCCGCCCATGGGCCTCCTGTATTTTGCCTCCCCCTTCTCATTCGTTTTGAAATACCAATAAAAACCATTAAGTAAACGTGCCAGCGGGGGAGGGGTGGATAAGACTTGTTTACTCGTGTTAGACACATTTTTTGGGAAAGCCCTGTAAACACTACTAGCAAAAGTTCACGGAACTTTGCGCGAGAGTTATATGTAAGTTCCGTAAACCTATCTCTGTGTGGACAAGGCCTTCCATTCATAAGGGATGAACGAACAAATTATGAAAGAACAAACATAAATGTATAATTTAATGATTTTAACATCCGCCGCCGCGCCGCGCGCCGCTCAGACTGCATTGTGTTTGGCACAATGCGTGAAGTATTCCGACAGCCTTGTAGGCGCTATGCGTTTCACGCCGACCGCTGCTGCATGCACTGTGTTTGACGCAATGCGTGAAGTATTCACGCAGTCTCGTAGGCGCTAAGCGTTTCACGCTGACCGCACTGTCTTTGGCGCAATGCGTGAAGTATTCATGCATTCTTGTAGGCGCTATCCGTTTCACGCTGACCGCAGTGACCGCACTGTGTTTGATGCAATGCGTGAAGTATTCGTGCAGTCTTGTAGGCGCTAATATGTGTTACATGCCGATCGCCGCGCCGAGGGCTTCTCCTTTTTCATCTCAAGTCCTCGTCATCATAGTCAGTCATTCATCTAAGTCGCGCCGTTCCAGGCCAAATTGCGTGTTTCATTTCTCTCTTAACTCGATTAATGAAAGGTGCTGTCTCTTGTATCTCTAAAAGACGACAAAATTATAAATTCCTATACTCTCAGGAAATGAGAGATTTTGTCTCCTTTTCTCATTTGTAATTTTTTTTTTCAAAATTCGATTTTTTTTTTAAAAAAATTGCAAAATTTGCCGCCCCTTTGATTTGCCGCCATGGGCCGCGGCCCATGTGGGCACCCCCTCAATCTGGCCCTGGCGGGCTTACGCCGTACATATGCCTCTTTTAAGGAAGGGGCGTCAACTCATATCGGCGCCCTCGCCTTGCTCTTTTCGAAGAGAGATACGAAACGCCTCGCCATCAAAGGCGCCTCTTTGTTTAAAATTAAGCTCGGAAAGGTGATGTTAGGCGCCTGTTGCCCTCCTATCAATGCCTTTTCATCTTCATCCCAATTTTCCTGCTCCACTCTCCCCCCTCTCCCTCCCTTTTCCTCTCTTTCTGTAGGTATCCTTCATATCGACGGTGAAACTATCAGACCACATATCTCGGTTTGCGTCGTTATAGACGACCTGTCATACGTTAGTTTAAAATGGAAAACTACTCCGCGTCAACTCTTGAGAACTTCCGTGTTTTCTCTACCATGTGCAGCGAGGAAAATTCTGTGAACATTTCAAGAAACCAATATTGATATGTTCCCCCTCAAAAAAATAAAATGGGAGCAGACGTTTTTAAACACCGCTATACCGAGATACGTGGTTTTCGCCGTCGATACTTATCTATGCCTCCAGCATGACGATTATTGAAATTTTAGAGCAGCCCGATTAAACACAGAAATACGATGTATTACATAGTTATGATATGGCTTTGTTCTTGTCGTGTCGATATAGTTTTAATAATCGAGCCACTGCAACAACGAGAAATTTTTTGGCTCTTCGAAAAAGTCGACTCGACTAGACTAGTGAGGAAAAATGCTGCGTTAATTTTCACTCCTTGCGCAGATTTCCCGCCGCGCGCCCCTCGATAAGTGCAAAAGCCAATCAGCGTTGAGCGTGGTTAGTACGCGATTGGTGGAGCTCTCGTTAGTCAGAGGGCGGGAGAAATTGAAATTTGATTAAATATTTCAAGAATTTCCACGAGTCTCGTGAAACACGAACTGCGATTATGCCTGCATACAAACTATGGACAGTTCTTTTCGGCAGGAGAAGTCACACCAACGATTAACGAAACGTGCGCAGCTCGAAGCAGCAGAAGAGGCGGGAACCCGTCGCCAATCAGAGACGACTTTGGCCTCGCTCTATAAGTAGGGATTGCCATCAGGGCTTCCATGACAAGGGTGACCTCTGTTTACTCCGTCATTTCTTATCAGTGGGCGTTTGAGTTTAGCAGAGATTCACTCTTGGCCCGGAAGGCTAGACTTACAGAAAATCCTGCCGCAGATCATCAGTAAGCGGGAGCGTGACACCGATGCGTGTATGCTCTCAGCTCTGGTGGAGAAAGAGAGAACTTCAATTGCACTTATGTATTAGCAATTATGTCGCCTCCTTACTATTACAGCTGCAGCCCAGTGGTAAATTGCTCGCCTCCAAGGTGGGAGGTCAGTGGATCGCGCCCCCGTTCACAAATATTTTGACGTCATTATATTACACATTATGTCATAAATGCCGCGAGTGGCCGTAAAGAAATACTTTTTCCCATAAAATAAGAGTGAGGCGTGCATTTTTGCGCACGTAATTGAAAAGGGCTCCTCTTGCAGAGAAACCTCTGGACCTAGGGTGTAGGGCCCTAATCTTACGTAGACCGTCCAATAATTTTTTT